GTTCTCATTGATATTCGATGTCCTTAAAAATTCAATTATATTTTATGGAAAACATAAAGAAAATATTCATTCTTTTACTCATTCGGCAGACAGTTACGTCTTCTTCCAATTTTAGGTCTGAATAAAGGGTGTAATTCGGTTTTCAAAAACGTTCCCAGTTCCCGAATAATTTTGAACCCGACCTGCCGTTTCACTTGAATTCAAGGTTTAAGAACCATATACCATTTATTTTCTGTGTACGGAAATCCATACATTTCTCTACAGTATTGAGAGGAGACCATAAGTGGTCCATAACATTTAGCAATGCATTTGAGTCATATTGTAAACTTTACAAACCACATCAATAAATGGAGAGACGTGATGTTTTACGGACGGGCATTTCACGGTCTTGAAAAATCTCATAATTAGATACTTTTTAAAAACCGGGTTATACCCCGTCTTCAAGTATAAAATTAGAATAAAACATAATGTTCCACTGAATGAGTAAAAGAATGAATATTTTCACACACGCTTCGCATGAAATGTAGTTAAATTTAAAAGTTCATCGAGAATCAATGAGAAGAACTCATGCTACTTACGTAGTCATTTTTTAATAGTGTGATTTTTGCCCGTGGCCGGAAAGACAACCGTTCGGAAGCCGGTATCTCGAGGTCTCTGAATTTTTATGATTAATTTGAATGATTAATTTCAAAACCTTACATAAGTAATTATTTCGAAAGAAAAACGCATCTCAGAATTTAGGTCAACATTTTATGAGTTAGCACGCCCACTGTACCTAGGTTTTTGTGGTCTGAAAGTATGTTCAGGGTCATGACTAACCGAATTAAGGTAGAAAATGCCCAAGTCAGCGTCGTTTCAACCTGTGTGCGTCGCTGACAGTAACATTTTATTATCATATTTCTTCAGATATCGCTCAAGTAGGTAGTTACAGCGTCGTAAACAATGTTACCAATGTAGGGGTTGTCTTAGACTATAAACCAATTGTTCGCTGGACGTTGGCTTCTTTGCGAAGTATTATAGAGGCCACGGAAGTGGAGAGTTTCCGATGGCCGAGCTCCATTAAACTTCGATTTTATTGAGCGTAAACGATAGCCCGACCGCCTCTTAGCAGACATGCGCGGAATCCACTCGTCGACTTCCGAAAACAATAAAAAGTCAAAACGACCCGGTGTGGACGAGGACGCTGTGAGCGACAAATTTAAACCTTTCGTCTATGCCGGCCGCACGCGGTCCAATCCTTAACTCCACATGTGCCGGCCTAATTCAAGTGGAAACACTGAAGCCTCCTCCACAGTCATAAGTAGAACAGAGTTATCTCGTCAGCTGTCAGTCTTTCATTCTAAGACTGATAGCGCGTCAGATTTATCGTAGTTGAAAATGCATAAAACTGCATTGAGGATGGAGTCTTCCTCGGTACCAGCCTCGATCTCTCTTCGTTCCTCCGCAAATCAGGCGACTGCTTGTGCCTGTCAATTGCTGGTAATGAGACTGGACGCGGTGACTGATACGACGTGAAAATCCCCGTCTACATGCATGCACCCCCGGTGGCTGAGGGAGTGCTAGACTCGAGCCATAGACCAGTGTGACCTCCCCTCGGATCGACGTATCCGAGGGGCGACAAGTTTGGACACGATGGGTTACAACTCATAAGAAAGGTGGCTCCTGTGCGTTCTGGAACATTCCGTCCAATGACATGCCAGCCGTTGAGGGCGTTCTAGAATATTCCTGCCCCACGCGTGCTGGTCGCTGATTGGCCACCGCGTGTGCGATAGCCCCGCCGCGGAAACGTCTGGAATGTTCGCCCAGCCATTGATTGGGCCGCACCTGTGAGCAAAACCACCACACGTGCTCGGCGCTGCAGTGCACGCCGGTCGGCCGTCTAACTTCACGCGTGTCTCACGCCGCCGGCTTGGTCCCCTGTTCAGCGCCTTAGGCCGTGGCTCTACGCCGTTTGCACTCTCCAGTGTGACCTCCCCTCGGATCAACGTATCCGAGGCACAACATGTTCGCGGGTGTTAATAGAAATAAGATGGTGTCGGTTTATAGACATCTCCATGCTATCTGCTTTTGGGTTCAGATAGTGACCAGGATTATTACTGTCTGAATGAGGATAACAGCTGTAGGCAGAATGGCATTACCGTCAAAGACAAGGGAGACTGGAATGGCCATTTCTGGCCTATTAGCCGTCGTCAGCCAGCCATACCCAAGCCCGAAGTGTGCAACACCCGAGCCTCGAACTCGCGACCTGTTGGTTTAGAAGTCCACGCCTCTACTCACCGGGCCACGAGCCCATTGCCCTGTCGGTTTACGATCGGGAATATACAATGGTAGGGGGCGCTCACCGATCGTTCATACGGAACTCATTCGTTCCCTTGTGCCTTAAGGGCTCTCTCTCAAGCCCAACCAGCAGCCGCACAGCGGCGCATGATATATAGGCAGAATGGCATTACCGACAAAGACAAGCGAGACTGGAATGGCCATTTCTGGCTTATTAGCCGTCGTCAGCCAGCCATACCCAAGCCCGAAGTGTGCAACACCCGATCGTAAACCGACAGGGCAACGGGCTCGTGGCCCGGTGAGTAGAGGCGTGGACTTCTAAACCAACAGGCCGCGAGTTCGAGGCTCGGGTGTTGCACACCTCGGGCTTGGGTATGGCTGGCTGACGACGGCTAATAAGCCAGAAATGGCCATTCCAGTCTCGCTTGTCTTTGTCGGTAATGCCATTCTGCCTATATATCATGCGCCGCTGTGCAGCTGCTAGTTGGGCTTGAGAGAGAGCCCTTAAGGCACAAGGGAACGAGTGAGTTCCGTATGAACGATCGGTGAGTGCCCCCTACCATTGATAACAGATGTCCCAATTAACTTTGCAGCTACCTCTGATATCCTCAGTGACTTCGCCTCGGTAGCCCATTGTCTGTTTGTGGCCTTCGCCACACAGATGGAGTTTGTTTGCGTCGGAGTGTCAAAGAATGTGCGTGAGCCCATTCCTGTTTATATATGTAACAGATCGCCAGCGAATGACAGTGCAAAATGTCGAAGAACATACGTACCTCGGCCCTCGGCAGTGCTTCTGAAGCCTCTGAAAGCTCCATCCGCTGACCAGCTGCGCTGTGTGTACACCAGCGTAGCTGTGTTTTTTTGTTCGAGGTGGTTGTCGGGAAGAAAGTTGAAGAAACCCGACAGATCGATGTACTAATCCACCCTTTGTTTTAAGTTCTGCAATGACAACGTGTTATTTCAACGAAGGTACTGGAGTTTGAAGCCCAAGCAAAGGAAATTAGGTCGGATGTGGTTTGGTAGCTCCACCTGAAGTAAACAAGCCCAGTCACCTCTAATACGGGACTGGTGGTAATGAGGGTTTCTACAGGTGAAGTCGGGGAAAGCACAGGCGACGAGGCGAAGTAGGTGCATGCAAATGAATAGCTATTGTGAATGCGCGGTTGTATTCTGATTGGTTAAGGAAAAATTACCCTAACCCCCAAACCTTGTCCCCCAACTCTAACCTCTAACCCTAAACCTTAACACCTAACCATAATCCCTGGCCCAAACCCCTAACCATAACCCCTAACTGTAATCCTTAACGCCAACCCCAACAGTACTGTGTCCATTGGGTGGGGCTATCAAACCACATCTTACCGGAAATTACACAAAATCCAAGTGCGGCTTTTCTGAACCGACCCAACCACTCCAGCATTAGGGTAGAAGGCCTATCGATGAGACCACTGCAGAGGAAGCGTCGCTTTTGCAGAATCTTGGTCAAGGCCTTTATACAGAGAAATGCCAGTTACAAATGTAAGGGAACCGATTGTGGTGGAGGACAGGAGAGTGGAGGGGAAGGGAGACCGGTAGTGACGATGTTCTGGGTGATGTGGGGGGTCGGTGCCCGCTTGTTGGGCGCACGGATGCTAGCTGGTGCGGAAGCCTGGCTATTCAGCTGCCTGTCCGGCTGACTGTTACGAACAATGACGGTTTCACTCTGTATGCTACGGCTGCTGGCGGAGTTCATCTACCCTTCTGTAAATCCCCCTGCTCGTTTGGCCTATATAGCCAATCGAAACACATGAAATGGGTTATAAGGGGCAGCCATTCCTTACCTTCTAGGTTGAGAAGTCAACTTTTGCTGGAAATCGCCCTAATTTTACCCGGGGAATACACACGTTGTGGCCGACTCTGATCAGCATCTTAACTATTCGACGTCATTTTCAACGGTTAAGACCTCCGAAGTCTGCGCTCGTTCCTCACGTCCGAACTTCCATCGCCTCTTATTAAATTATTTAAAGTTATGTGCGCCTTTATGAATACGGAGGACAATCAGTTGGTTTTCTGTCGGTCTAGACGCCACGAGGGTGTGTGGATCTTCGTCGAACTCGTTCTTTGTTTCTTAATGGCGTCTGGTTGTAGCCGGGGGCGTGGGTGTTAGTGTTTGTGCTCAGGCTCTCCTCACAGTGTGAGAGTCTTGTTACCGTGTAACAATCGGGGATTTCCTTTGGGAGAGAGAGAGAGAGAGAGAGAGTAACTATCTCACAATGTCGCTTTTTGCGGCGAGGACAACTCCAAATTGTCATTACTTTCATTTCGGACGTCCTTGCAGCGGTGTTGGCTGTGGTAGACTAGTTGGCTCTCTGCATCGTAGCAGAGCTCTCAGGACAGCAGTCTCCCGCCTTGCGAATTTTATGCCTAGGAGCAAAGTGTGC